ATCTACCTTCTTACCGTTTTTTCTTACAGGGGTAGTGGAGTCACTTTCTTTATGTTTTTTTATTCAAGTCTTCACCCTTTGCCTCTTTAGTATTTAAATAGGGTGTACCAATGACTGTAAATATAACCATATGTTAACATATCTGTGCTTTCCCTTTTATTATTAAATGTATTCTCCATGTAAATCCCTCTGTTATGTATATGCGTTTTGTCATTATTAAATGTATTTCCACATATGATTATATTTGAATATGTATACCAGAATGATTGTAAATATAACTATACAGACACTAAAAAGGAGGAAAATGGTCAAAATGGTCATTTTTTTATAGTTCATTTTGTTACAAGAATTATGAAGATACCTTATTAACAGCTTCACCATGTTTTTTACTTGATGATTTAGCACCATGTTTATCACCAGAAACAGCTGCAGCAGAACCCTTATGTGCTGAAGTACCATTTTTGCCCTCAACATCTACCTTCTTACCGCTTACCGCTTTTTCTTACAGGGGTAGTGGAGTCACTTTCTTTCTGGTTTTTATTCAAGTCTTCACCATTTGCTTCTTTAGTATTCTTCCGTTTCTTTGGCCCTTCAGAATCAGAAAAATGGTCATTTTTTTAGTTCATTTTGTAGTCCAGTCTCTGAACATGTCTCTTTGCATTTTTAGGGGCAGAATCGTCATTTTCCATATTTGTAAATAATATTAAATAGTATTTTGTTACAAGAATTATGAAGATACCTTAGTGACAGCGTCACCATGTTTTTTACTTGATGATTTAGCACCATGTTTATTACCAGAAGCAGCTGCAGAAGAACCCTTATGTGTTGAAGTACCATTTTTGCCCTCAACATCTACCTTATTACCGCTTTTTCTTACAGGGGTAGTGGAGTCACTTTCTTTCTGTTTTTTATTCAAGTCTTCACCATTTGCCTCTTTAGTATTCTTCCGTTTCTTTGGCCCTTTAGAATCAGAAAAATGGTCATTTTTTTGTAGTTCATTTTGTAGTGCGATCTCTGAACATGTCTCCTTGCAGTTATAGGGGCAGAATCGTCATTTTCCATATTTGTTTTCAAGATTTCTTCATCTTTACGTAAACCCTTTTTTTATATTTAAGATAAGTAATGTTTAATATTCAAATTTGTTTGATAAAATAAAACTGTGAAATTTTTTTTGAATTCGTTGTTAAGCAAAAAAAAATCAAAAGTAAAAGAAGTAAATAAACTTTCTATAAGAATCACTATAGTTTATTTTTTTTTATTTCATTTTTTTCCTTGTTTAACTACCGAAATCTATTTTTTTTTTTTGCAATTAACTACATAAGGTTTGTCTTCATGTACAGTCATTTTTTATATAATCCATTAATGTATATTAAATTTAAATATATAAATATAAATTCTTTATAATAAGTCCACGTCCATTTATTTTTATTAAATATAAGCTTCAAAAGATGTTAAATTAACAATTTTTTTATTAACAATTTTTTACACGTACGTATTTTTATAATGTGTCAATTTTACTAATTCATAATATATACTATGAATTTATATAACATTGGTTTATTATAGTTTTATTACAGGATCTATTGTTTTTTATTATATAAACATCGTATGGATTCAAATCATTCTAAAAACCGGCGCAAACAAAGAAAGTTAAATTTAGATAAAAAAAATCCGATGTCGTGACAACCACTTCAATTGGTAATTATTTTTCAACGTGTCCATTTTGTTTTATTATCATTACTCTTTTATTTAATTTAATTTATAAAAATATTGATTAAGTCTTATTCAAATTTGTATTACACATAATCAATAAATTATATTATTAATCCGGTAGAGTATTATATATTAAATGTTGTTTTTCCTTATAAAAATAACTACTTTACCGTATATAACATATCATTATCAAAATCTAACCACTTCATTTTATTTTATATATCTTGCAGGTAACAATAAAAATATAAATTCAAATATTTCAGATGGATATCAACATACAAGTTTTCAATCTACTTGACATATCCTTTTAATATTACAAGTTCATTATCCAATGATGCTAAAGATAAAAAAAAACTTAGAAAGTTATATTTGGATAACAAAAAATGTAAAGATAAAACCACCACGGCAAATGGTATATTTTTTTTTTCTATCATGCATTTATAATTACTTTGTTACCAGAGTATTGTTTTTACATAAAATTTTTAATTTTGTTGATTAGTTTTTATTTTCTATTAATCGTTTGCGACATAAATAATGCATATTCCCTTATAACATTCTTAGTATTTCACAAGCAACAATTTTTCCGATCAACATTGTTTTGATTTTTTAATATTTTATTTAAATAAATTTCTTATATTTCGTTTTCGATGAATTAAATATGCATATATTTTTTTTCTTCGTATATATGTTAATTATAAATGTTTTGAGGGTCTTAATAACTTTTTTCTTATATATTTTTCTCAGTGCTTACTAATGACATTAGCAAAAGTCAAACCATGCCCATCAACCATCTTCAATAATGTTGCCGGGGACAATCAAAATGTCAACCCAAACATTTATAAATATAAACGAAAATAAATAAAAGATTATTTGGATAATAGAAGATCCATTCAGACTTGCACCACACCAATCGGTAATATGCTATATATTACATAATTTATCTTTCATCCATATAATGTATAATTAATTGTGTAATAATATATTCATTTGTTTATTATGTTTGTTTTATTTTTTTGTAATAATTAAAATATTTTTATTTCATAGATTATATGGAGTGTGCTCAACAATGTTTCAAATCTACTTCAAATTATACGACAAGAACTCCGTTATTTAATATTACCAATGGTATATCGAATAACTTTTCATATCAGTTATCCTACTATATAAGTTACATAAAATAATATCTATGCATTGTATACAATTTAAATCATACTATTATCCTTTTTATTTCAAAATTCAATACTGACATTTATACTTTTAGTATATGGACACAAATCATTTATCCTTATCAACATCTAACCACTTCAAATTATTCTATATATCTTGCAGGTAACAATGAAAATATAAATTCAAATATTTCAGGTGGATATCAGCATACAACTTTTCAATCTACTTTGGATGTTAATATTACAAGTTCATTATCCAATGATGCTAAAGATAAAAGAAAACTTAGAAAGTTATATTTGGATAACAAAAAATGTAAAGATATGACCACCACGCCAAATGGTATATTTTTTTTCTATCATTCTTTTATAATTAGTTTGCTACGAGAGTATTCTTTTTACATAATATTTTTAATTTTGTTTATTAGTTTTTATTTGTGTTAACCTTTTGCGACATAAATAATGCATATTTCCTTATAACACTCTGAGTATTTCACAAGTAATGGTCATAACGATCAACATTGTTTTCATTTTTTAATATTTTATTTAAACAAATTTCTTATATTTCGTTTTCGATGATATAAGTATGCATATATTTTTTTTCTTCCTATATATGTTAACTTATAAATATTTTGAGGGTTATAATAACTTTTTTCTTATATAATTTTCTCAGTGCTTACTAATGACAGTAGCAAATGTCAAACCTTGTCATCAAGCAAGTTCAATAATGTTACCGGTGACAATCAAAATGTCAACCCAAACGTTTATAAAGATAAACGAAAACAAAGAAAAAAATATTTGGATAATAGAAGATCCATTCAGACTTGCACCACACCAAACGGTAATATGCTATATATTATATAATTTATTTCTCATCCATCTAATGTATAATTATTTGTCTAATAATAAATTCCAATGTTTATTATGTTTATTTTATTTTTTATATCAATTAAAATATTTTTATTTCGTAGCGTGTATGGAGTATGCTCAGCAAAGTTTCAAATCTACTTCCAATTATACGACAACAACACCGTTATCTAACATTACCAATGATATATCTAATTTCTTTTCACATCAGTTTTCCTACTATATAAGTTACAAAAAATATTATGTATGTATTTTATACAATTTAAATCATACTATTATCATTTTTATTTCAAAATTCAATACTAACATTTATACTTTCAGTGTCAGGAAATAGACAATATTCTATATTGTCTAATGATATGACAGCCACATCTTCGTTAGCAGTCACTCGAGATAATTCTATCAGTTTATCTTTGAGAAACAAAAAGTCAAAAAGGAAAATCTCAAATATATCTCATATACCCATAGACTTAACATCAGATGAACACTTAAATGTTCAGCATAATCATGTTCAATTGATTTCGGGTATCTCAAAAGGTAACACTAATGATTATATTAAACTATTACTCATTTCAAGAATAATATATGTATATCTTTAATCAAGTTTTTTTAAACAGATTATTTCGACCATGGTGATCAGAGTTTTGTGTGTACGAGTTGTCATGCAAAATTATGGCAAAATGAAGCCCTTAAAGGCAATAAAGATGGCAACAAAACATCTTTTTCAATGTGTTGTGGTAACGGAAAGGTCGAGCTTCCTGAATTAAAAGAAGCACCTGAAGATTACCAAAATCTTTATCGTTCTGTTCATCCCAAAGGGAAACATTTTTTGAACAACATTCGTCTGTTCAATTCGATGTTTTCATTTACATCGATGGGTGGAAAAGTTGATTCTTCCGTTAACAAAGGCAAAGGTCCATATATTTTCAGACTTAGTGGTCAAAATTACCATTGTATGGGCAGCCTTCTACCTATAGATGGATCAAAACCAAAGTTCTCTCAACTATACATATATGATACTGACAACGAACTTTCAAATAGACAACACGCTTTCAGGTATATTTCATGTTTATTTTTTATAACAATCCTTTTTTTTCATTATACTTATTTACCTACTAAATATTAAATATAATCGTCATTATTAACAGTACACAAAAAGATGGGTGCAATTCAACTTCTCAGCAACTTGATATCGAAATCATAAGATTTTTGAAGGTTATGTTGGATTCAACAAATGAGTTGGTTAAGTGTTATAGAATGGCAAGAGATTGTTTTAATGCAAGTCCTAATATAGATCTAAAGTTACGTCTTATAGGAAGAAGACAACATGATGGAAGGACATATAACCTACCTACCGCTTCTGAGGTTGCTGCTTTAATTGTTGGTGACATTGGTAATTCAATTGATAATAGAGATATCATCGTAAAAACTAAATCAGGCAGTCTACAACGTATAAATGAATTGCATCCTGCTTACCTTGCTCTTCAATACCCACTGCTCTTTCCTTATGGGGATGATGGATATCGAGTTGACATCCCTCATAGAGGTGTTACGTGTTCAACGAATAACAAACGATGTAACTGTACAATGAGAGAATTCTTTTCTTATAGGATTCAAGACAGAGTTAATATTTTCTCATTAATTCTGAATTCAAGAAGGCTTTTTCAACAATTTCTGGTTGATGCTTATACGATGATTGAAAGCGAGAGGCTATATTACATACGAAACCAACAAAAAGTTCTTCGATGCGAGTCCTATGAAACATTACGCAGCGTGAAAAACAATGGAAATACAGATATTTCGAATATTGGACAGCGTGTGATATTGCCTTCTTCTTTTACTGGTGGTGCACGCTACATGATGCAAAACTATTTAGATGCCATGTCACTTTGTAAGTGGTTTGGCTACCCAGATTATTTCATAACTGTAACATGCAATCCAAAGTGGCCCGAGATTCAAAGGTTTATTGCTGACACAAACCTCAAACCCGAAGACAGACCAGATATCCTATCTAGGTTGTTCAAAATGAAGCTAGATTCATTGATTAAAGACTTAAAGAAAAATTCATTATTGGGTTCGGTCGAAGCAGATAATTTATATTAATAATGCATTGTTAAAGTGTTTTTATATATTTTGTTAATATGTTTTTTTATTTTTTTCAAAATCTTATAATACGTCTCTATGTAAATAATTTGTCAGCTGTTTATACGGTGGAGTTTCAAAAGCGCGGCCTACCTCATGCTCATATATGTCTATTCATGCACTCTGATTACAAGCTCCCAACCGTTGAACATATTGATCGTGTTATTTCTGCTGAAATTCCAAACAAAGACGACGATCCAGAATTGTATGCACTTGTCAGCGAGTTCATGATGCATGGTCCTTGTGGTAGTGATAATCCTAAATGCCCATGCATGATTGATAACAAGTGTTCAAAAAACTTCCCAAAGACATTCACAGAGCATACTTCGGTTGATGAAAATGGTTATCCAATATATAAGAGACGTAATGATGGATCTTTTGTTGAAAAGTCTTTGTGTTAAGTTAGACAATAGAAGTGTGGTTCCATATCACAAACTGCTTTTGAAAAGATACCAAGCTCACATTAATGTTGAGTGGTGCAATCAGGGTGCTTCCATCAAATATTTGTTCAAATATATTAACAAGGGTCCTGATAGGGCTACTGTTGCGGTTGTACCAAACAACAACGCATATGATAATGACGATGTAGTTGACGAAATAAAAAACTACTACGATTGTAGATATTTGTCTGCATGTGAAGCTTCGTGGCGTATATTCAAATTTGATGTTCATTTCAGGACTCCTTCTGTTGTGAGGCTTCCTTTTCATCTTCTTTGGACAACAAAATGTTGTATACGGTGCTGACGATGATATTGAAGATGTCCTCAATAAATAGTCTGTTTCTTCTTCGATGTTCTTAGCTTGGATGGAGTGTAATGAACATAATAAGGAAGCACGTAAGCTTTCTTATGTTGAATTTCCTACCAAGTTTGTTTGGAAATTGAAGGATCGTTGTTGGAAGCCAAGAGAAAAAGGATTTTCTATCGGTCGAATTCACACCGTCTCTCCTAATGTTGGTGAAGCATATTTTTTAAGAATCCTTTTAAATAAAGTCAAAGGTCCGAAATGTTTTGCAGACATTCGTACGGTTAATGGACATGTGTGTGCTACTTTTAGAGAGGCGTGTTATGCTCTTGGACTTTTGGAAGATGATAGGGAATATATTGATGCAATTGAGGAAGCAAGTCATTCAGGTTCTGGATATTATTTGCGTTATTTATTTGCAACTATGCTGAAGTCTAATAGTTTGTCGATACCGTACTTTGTCTGGGAAAAAACATGGCAATACTTATCAGATGGAATTCTCTACAATCAACAACTAAGATTAAAGGCACCAGGTAATATGTTATTTTTCATTATTTAAATTAATGTTTTACTTAATAATTCTTACATAATATATTATATTTATTGAATAAAATTTATTATATATTTTTATATATTTAACTAAAACTTATTAACCTTATTATTATCGTTAAGTTTTAATTTTATATAGTTATATATCTATAAAAATTAACTTGCAAATTTCTACAGGTTTATCGCTTGATGAGGATCAAGTTAAGAACTTGACACTTTATGAGATTGAAAAAATTTTACTCCAAAACAATTCAAGCCTCAAAGATTTTGATGGGATGCCTTACCCTGATCATGAGTCTATATCTTCTTCAAATAATCGATTGATTACGGAGGAGCTAGATTTTGACAGGACGACTCTATTACAAGAGTTTTATCAGCTACTTGGTTCATTAACAGATGAACAAAGAGGTGTTTTCGACGATATTATCACAAATGTTAAAAAAAAGAAAGGAGGTGTCTTTTTTGTTTACGGTTACGGAGGTACAGGGAAAACATTTCTCTAGAAAACATTATCTGATGCTTTAAGATCGGAGGGTGAAATCGTGTTAAATGTTGCTTCAAGTGGTATTGCTTCCTTATTATTGACAGGAGGTAGGACAGCGCACTCTCGATTTATAATCCCTTTAAATCTTACCGAGGATTCGTTTTGTTCTATAACGCCGGAAAGTGATGTTGCTGAATTGTTAAAAAAAACATCATTGATTATATGGGACGAGGCACCCATGATTCATAAGCATGCATTTGAAGCTTTGGATAGATCTTTGAAGGATATATTGGGTTGTCATCTTCGTAGCAACTCAAAATTGCCATTTGGAGGAAAAGCAATTGTTTTTGGAGGTGATTTTAGACAAATTCTACCTGTTGTTCCTAATGGAAGTAGACAAGACATCGTCAATGCTTCAATAAGTTCCTCCTATATTTGGTCAAATTGCAAGGTCTTAAGATTAACAAAAAAACATGAGGTTAAGTCTTCATACATCTAATATTGAAGAAACAACCACATTTGCAAACTGGATTTTGAATATAGGTGAAGGAAAGGTTGGTGGCTTAAACGACGGCGAGGCAAATGTTGATATACCAGATGATATTCTCATTACAGATTCATCGGATCCTATTGGTTCATTAATTACATTTGTCTATCCTTCTATTGTTGAAAATGCCAATAATCCGATGTTTTTTCAAGAAAGAGCAATCCTTGCACCGAAAAATGAAGTTGTTCAAGAAATAAACAATCGTTTGTTAAAATTATTTCCTGGAGATGAAAAAGAATACTTAAGTTCAGACAGTCTTTGTCAATCGGAGTTTGTACACGATGACTTTGACGAATCTTTATACTCTCCTGATGTTCTAAACGGCCTTAGACCTTCAGGTATGCCAATTCATAAATTGGTATTAAAAGTCGGTGTTCCAGTTATGTTATTGAGGAATATTGACCAGAAATACGGTTTGTGTAATGGAACAAGGCTGCGAGTTATAGCATTGGGTAAGCGTGTTATAGAAGCAGAGATTATTTCTGGAAGTAATATAGGAAAACGTACGTTTATTCCAAGAATGTCACTGACCCCGTCGGATAAAAGGATTCCTTTCACATTTCAGCGAAGACAATTTTCACTTGCTGTATGCTTTGTGATGACAATAAACAAAAGTCAAGGACAGTCGCTATCAAAGGTTGGTTTGTTTTTGAGACAACCAGTATTTACTCATGGACAGTTGTATGTTGCATTGTCTAGAGTTAAAAGCAGAGACGGATTGAAAATATTAATTTTAGACAACGAAGGAAACCCTACCAATAAGACATCTAATGTTGTATTCAAAGAAGTATTTGGAAATTTGTGATTTGTAAAAATTATTTAGAATATTTCATTAATGATTTTTTTTTGTATTTTGGATTCAATTACATACTTATTCAATAAACTCTTCATTTATATGTGTTGTATTATTTTAATAATTGGTTGATGTTCAAAATTTTATATTATTTATTTCAAGAAACCCGTATAACACGGGTATTACACCTAGTTATAAATAATATACAAGTCCATAGGAGATCATTATCTTAAACTTAAATCCTGTGATTGGTTGTGACAGGTCACAGCGATCTCTGATTGGTACGTATCTTTCACGCGCTCTGTCTTTGGTGAGAGATACTAAATTAGGAATAACTAGTTAACGATTGTAATAGACACTTTCTTTGAAAGCTTTTAATCTTGCAGTACGTTGTGCATCTCTACTTGTACGTCCCTCTCTCTAAAATTTCCCAGATCCGTCTGTTTCTCTCTCTAGATTCTTCGAGTTCTTATATACACCAGATCGCTGATTGTCGAGATTAGAAGTTGTTGAAGCTTGGTTTAGTGTTTTCTTGAAGAAATCAGGGTTAAAAATGGCGCAAGCTGTGGAGGATTGGTACAAACAGATGCCTATTATCACTCGTTCGTATCTCACAGCTGCAATTGTTACAACAATCGGTTGTTCTCTTGAGGTATTTTTTTTCTTTCGATTTCTTATAGCTTATCGAAATGGTTAAATGATGGTGTTGATGAGTTTAAAAGGGTTTGATTGTTTGTTTATTCTTGTCTGTATTATAAGATAGAACATGTGAATTTTCCCCAATTGGATTATTTGATTATGTAAATGGATCAAAGACGAAGAATCCAGGCCTATTTTGTTACAATAATTTGAATCTTTCACATTTTGGTGAAAGGGATCGGTTACGTGAAATTGAAGTGTTCGATCGTATGCTTGATTTCCCAATTGGATTGTTTAAGATAAATTCGTTTTGAGGTTGCTATTGTGCATTGGATTAAAGATTTAAATTACATCAAAAACTAAAAGGGCTCCTTTGAAGGATTGATTCCCATTCATGTTGTTTGTTTTTCCAAAATTAAACAATTTTTTTTTTATCTCCCACTGCTTTCTGGGCGTCTGTATAGGGTAAAGAATCTCATGTACTGTTTCTTTATAGGTTTATTCAGCTAGTACTATAAAGTGGTTATTGTGACTCAAAAAATCATAATTATATTCAGTTGAGGGTAGTAAACTAGTGATTAAACCTGGTTATTTATTATATTTTGCAGATCATTTCACCTTACAACTTGTACTTGAATCCCAGACTTGTTGTTAAGCAGTATCAAATCTGGCGATTGATCACCAATTTCCTCTATTTTCGCAAGATGGGTAAGCATTCTTACACCTAATTTTGACATTTCAAGCCAAAATCATCATATAGAAGCTTATATTGACTTTACAAAATGTTTATCTTTCATTTTCTTGGAATAAAGTAATGATTAACATCTTTGTTTGACAGATTTGGACTTTCTGTTTCATATGTTCTTTCTGGCTCGATACTGCAAACTTCTAGAAGAAAATTCTTTCAGGGGAAAGACTGCTGATTTCTTTTATATGCTCTTATTTGGTGCGACTGTTTTGACCACTATTGTACTTGTTGGAGGGATGATACCATACGTGTCGGAATCTTTTGCCAAAATAATTTTCTTGAGCAATTCACTGACTTTTATGATGGTAATTAGTTAATTTCTTTATATATACAAATGATTTAAAACATTCTAAGGCTAATTGAAACAAAATAGAAACATAGCATCCTATTTTCATTTTATTGAGTTAGTAATAAACCCATTTTATTCTATTTCTACATTTAAAATGTCTTGATTTTCTTCCCATTCTTTTTGTTTGTAGGTTTATGTTTGGAGCAAGCAAAACCCATTCATTCATATGAGCTTCTTGGGTCTCTTTACCTTCACAGCAGCTTACTTACCATGGGTGAGTTCTTGTTGATTTGTACATCTATAGTATCTCTAAAATTCGCTAATTTATTAAGTGGTAAATATCGAAAAATGGTATAAAATATAAAATTACGACATCTTTCTTGTTTTTTGCAGGTTTTATTAGGCTTCTCTGTTCTTGTTGGAGCTAGTGCTTGGGTCGATCTACTTGTAAGTTTTTACTATTTATTGTAAACTTCTCTTGTAGTTAGGTGGTATTTTCACCTCAATCAAGTGCTTGATTATTTTTTGAATATATCCAAATTTGATACGAACAATAAAGCTGAAAGTAAAAATAGAAAAATAATTAGGTAAATATTGTACTAAAAGTACAAACAAGTTGGAAAGAACATGGGATCCGTACTACCAAAGTAATTGTACAGATAAAGTAAAAGATGTATTAAGTGTTGTACAACACATAAAGACACTTTTCTTTTTTGACTGAATGAACTGTCTGAAAAATTATCAGGGAATGATTGCTGGTCACGCGTACTATTTTCTAGAAGATGTGTATCCAAAAATGACGGGACGCCGACCTTTAAAAACGCCTTCGTTCATCAAGACACTATTTGCTGACGAGGCGGTTGTGGTAGCACGACCTCAAGAAGTGAGATTTGCAGCACCACCCGTTGAAGAAATGAGAAGATGATCAAGCAAGATATTAAATGTTTTTTTCTTCTTTTTTACTAGAGGTGCTATATGGTAATATGTTAGCTTTATACTTCTCAAATTGCACATAACTTGATGTTTTGTAAGTTGTTTGTGTAAAGAAGAAATATTGAGATTTAGTAGTAGTATATTCGTATTATTCTTTTTGAATTTTCTTTATTTTGTGGATTTAGTGTGAAGAGAAAAAAAAAAAATTTAATCGTTAGGTGGTTGTTTGCTTTTGACTAAATTGATTTAATATATCGTAAGATAAGCTATGTATCAGAGTCTTTTTATATAATCAAAAGAATAACTTAATAGAGAAGGTTAGGTAAATGAGGCATTTTCAGTCACAGATTTATCATTTATCCTTGTTCCATTTCGTTTTGTATTTCTTTTAGCAGGTTTTATAATGGATAAAAACAGGTTTATGTCTAAATGTTTAAGACATCAAAACGTGTTATGTTAACACATCAAAACATTTTTTGGTCAATTTTTTTGATTTTGTATTAAATATAAATACACAAACTATCATTAATAATACAATAATCGATTTGTGATACCATTCATCCGGGTTATTTCTCAAACAAAATTTCGGTTAATGGAAACTATCCTTGTTAAAAAAATATATATATTACATTTCAACCATTGTGACCCCCTATTTGACTATTTCCAGTTTAATAAACGTGGTTTGTTTTTCATTGCACGTTTTTCATGTTTTTTTCATTTTGCATAGGGGACTAAAAGTGACATTAGAAAGTTGGATACCATTTTGGTGCAAAAGAATTACATAACACCAAACTTAGTGTTATAATGTTCCTTTACACCAAAATGGTGTAAAAAATAGAGTGGGATTGGGGATAAATTTACACCATTTTACTGTTTTAGTGTGAAAATGAGATATGGGGTAGGGATGGAGATGCCCTTAAAACGGTAAATGGGAAGCTATTCCAAATAGAGAAATTAAATTACCTCCTAACTTTTATGCCTACAATTATTCCTACCCATTAAAATTATGACAAATTATCATTCGATTTAATTTTATTTGATATATTCCTAATATAACCTTAAAGAGTTAGTTAAAAAATATGGAATGATGACACTTGTCATAATTTTATTGGGTAGGAACATTTGTAGGCATAAAAAGTAGGAATCAATTTAATTTCTCTTCCAAATAAAATGCTATTTCATAAAGTATATATACTGCCATATATAGGTAAATATAAGAAGCAATGTCTATGTTAACATCTGGTAAACCGATGTAGGTGTTAAATTGTTATTTATCACATGACCCTCTCCGTTAATTCATAGAGGGTCACAACTGTAATTTATTTGAAACAGGTATTGTTCAAAATAAATTATAGTGGTTAAATCACAAAACAAAAAAAAAAAGTCAAAATATAGTTACTGGCTTATTGCCTAGTTTTCACACACTCAGAACTTAACTATTATACTCATTATAACGTAAAAATAAAAGTGAAATATAACAAAACAAACGTCAAGCGATTAAGATTATCATAGTTATCGTCAAATAATCAAATTTGTCTAACATTACTCATTCTGACATTTATCAAAACAAGCCAGAAACCAAATGGAATGACACCATTTTTTGTTCCAAATATTCAATCCACAAATCCCCCATGAAGAAATCGATCAAAACATTTCCCCAATCAACTGTTAATTCTACATCAAGAAGCAAGATAGCATCATAAATCTGCACATCTTGAATCCAATATTCATCAAACACTAAATCGATCATAAACTTTTATGTCAAAAGTGAATAATGGTTAACGAATCGGGTGGTATTGTGCAGATACTCTCTTGGGAGGCAACTTTCTGAGAATGTAAAGCACAAGACCTGAGGGGAGAATCTCAACTAGCTGTTCACATCCAAAAAATATATATAAATAAACAAGTCACAAGTATGCAAAAATAATAATAAAAAAATGTACAAAAAGTGAAGTACCATGTAGAAAATCAAGTTTAGAACCGGATGATCGAGTACATCTAATGAAGCTTGTGAATCAAAAGCAGATAAAACATCCTGCAATTCAACAAATCAAGTTCAAATACATAAGGGTGTTTTAGACATTTGATTGATTGTCAAACACTTGCATATAAAGTCAAAGATTGCAAATAAATGAATGCATACTCTAAAAAGATAGATTAAATCTTACCACAAAGCATCTTATAAGAAAACATGTAAAGCATATTCCTGTCACGGATCCAACCTGCAACATTTAGCATAGATTAGATAATCGGTTGATTAAAGCTAGGGGTAGTTAGGTAATTTCACATTTATCTCAGTAATCACTGACCTCATGAAGTTTCTTTTGTCTCCCTTTAGATTCAATAGGAAACTTTCGTAGCATGACAAATAACCTAAAAACATTTAATACAACAATTTAAGAAAGTGGGAAGAAAAAAAATGCAAAATTCAAGTTTCAGCCAAAAGGTTCTAGAAAGTCTTACTTTCCTCCATATGTCAGAAAGCCTATGGATGCCATAAGGGATACAACTGCACAATAAATGTAAAATAAGATTCCATTATTTTGTCAAGGGTATTTTAGACATTTGAAAAATAGTCAAGCAATCCGGTACAACAATGTGTCAAACATTACAACTTTCATGGCATGGAGGGAGCCAGGGAGTGCTTTTCCTTTAAAAAAAAAAAAAAGATTGTTTTTTCTTGACTTTTTATTTAATCATATGTTGAAAGAACAATAAATGTTTTTTTTTTTTTTTTTTTTTTTTTTCTGAATTTAAATTCTTTTTTACCTGCAACAAAAATCTTTCCAAGGAATCGCACCATGCTGCTATCATCCAACCAAAGGTATATCCAAAGACAACCCTAAAGCAAACAACTTGTCTCAATCAATATTCAATAACTGATTTAAAAATAATATTTTCAAAAAAGATGGCAAATTTGTAATAAGTGAGGACTTATTGGGCAAGAATATAAGTAACTTACTTGTATCAAGTAAACTCCTGCATTAACCGATACATAAACAATCCTGAGTTTATCTGTTGGTAAACTTTTAGCCTATTCATCATATAAGAAAAACAATAAGATATGAAGATGGACAATAATAATAAATAAATAAATATGATCAAAGATGGGTAGGTGGATTTTACTTACCTGGTGATATATCTCAGCCCAAAATAGGACAAGAAGAGTATATGTTGAGAAAAATAGTAAACCGGGAACTTCCAATAGCATCCAAATGCAAACCTAATAAGCAAAATTATAATTTATAAGTTTTGTAATAGAAATGAGTCAAATGACATGAGGCCCCTTGAGGCATGTTTGCAGAACATGACAAGACATGTTGTACTGTGTTTGGCATACATTGGACTGACATGTTGTCAATGGGACAAAAATTGAAATTATCTGTCCGGCCCAAAAAGGCGAGACAAAGACTCGTTCCCGATCTCTTGTCTATGTAAAAGACATAAATGCCCTCATTGTCCTCATTATAGATTCTCCATTTTGTCTTGAATTTTTATATGTTCTTTGAAAAAGTAATTTGAAAGGGTATACTCACCTTGGGATGCAAAGCGAACACCTGTAAATGAAACCCAAAGACAATGGAACGAACTGCAAGAATCCAAGAGATGTATATTTGTTACTACAAACTTTTTAAGACAAAATTATTTAATTAATGATTAATATAATTGTAATACCTCCATTAACGATGAAATTCATGAGGTGGAAAACTTTTTGTGTTGTCCAACCATACTCAGGTACTCTTAGTTCAATCCTAATTAACTGAATCTGCAATTATGTAGAGCCATGGTTGAAGTTGAAACAAATGTTACATTAAAAATTCAATCCATATTTTGATTGATAAATGATAACCCATTAAGGATATGCATGTCAATTCCACATGTTTCTCAATAATCAACTTTATCTAGTTGTTTTGACCTAAATAATAAAAAGACCATGGTCATAATCACTTTTACCCAAACATTCAAATTTGATTATTGCGACTAACAGATAATAGCATAAGAGCACCTCATTTCAACAATTTCTAGAAGATAAGCTCTTCAAATGAAAACCCCTAAGTTTTAGGTAAACCTAATTTAGGGGAGTTACAATAGCCAAATCGAGATTCAAGTACAAGTTCCATTGAATATTGATGATTTGTCTAATCAACCACAAGTTAATGAGCTTAAATAAGTGTGCGTTTGTGTGAATGACATGAAGAAATAGCTTACAAGAGCAATGACGGAAACGAGGCCATACGAAGCAGAAAGAGCGAAAAAGATTCCATCTTGCCACTTTCTTGATTCGTTTATCGACTCCCACCAATCTGCCGATGACCACAGATCAATCATCTTCATCGATGACGACGACGCGATGCCCACTGGCATTCTCGTCATTTCTCACCCAAATTAACCCACAATCACGCCCCTTTTGATTGATCGATTGCCCCACGCAATCTTGATTGCAATTTGAAACTGAAACTGAAATTACTGGTTTTTCTGGCTCATCAAATGAAGAAATAAGCTGATGGAAATTGGGGAGAGAGGGAGAATCTTGGACTTGTTTTTTGTTTATGTTCGTGCAATGCCCCCCATTGATTGATTGACCTCGGGATGCACAAAAAGCAAATAAAGAAAGTAAAAAAGTGCAAGAAAGAAAAATCAAACATGAAGTTAATCGTAGTGAAAGAAGATTGTAGATGGGAAAGAGAAATCTACAAGTTACTTCCACTTTTTTTTTTATCAAAAGATGATTTTAATCTTTTTACTTTAATCTAATAATCAAATTATGACATATTTCTAGTTTTATACTTTGAAGTGTATATCTAATTATTATATATATATTAAAGTTGTGGAAGAAATGAATAGTAAAGTTGGCATACTTTGTTCAGCTTTGGCCCCTTGATTTACATATCCGGTCCTTGTACTTCTTTAATTAATTTATTCATGTCCTTTTGTTTGTATTCCATTCAACTTTCCATTTTTTGGGCAGAATTGGTCCCTGTATTATTGTTGGAAGTTAGGAATACTAAATTTGGATGTTTTTTTTGACAACTTTGCTCATTATTTTTTACCCATTTTGACATTTTTGGTCCTTGCAATCAATATTTTTACACTTTTTTGGAACCTTTTAAAATTTAAAGTTTGGCCACAAAACTTTAACGGTTTGACAACTTTGATCCATTTTCTAAAAAGTTGCTAATTCCTACCCCTTTAATTCTTTAGCCATTTTCACACTTTTGGTCCTTGCAGTCAAAACTTTTACATTTTTTGTCCGGGGCAAAGCCCGGACTTTTCATCCTTGCACTTTCTATGTCTGTCATATTTATCAATTCGGAAACAACATTGAAAGCTTTTGGCCCCCGCGTAGCGAGGGTAACCTTTCTAGTTATTCATAATAACTGTTTTTTTACCTTAGCGAGGAGGGAGTCATTCTCTCCCAACCCACTCAATCCACATTAGTTTTTTCTTTTATTTTTCTTCATATTTCTCAACCCACAACATACGGAAACCCTATCTTTTTCAACCTACTCAACCCATTCAATTAAAAAAAATAAAAAACAATTAAGGTAAAATCTTAATTAACAATAGAGTTATCGCCGGTACCATTTCCTCTTCAACGAGTTGTTTAATTGGTTTTACTAACTCACTTCATCCTCTCCCTCTCTCTACTTTCTCTCTCTTATTTTCTCTTGTACCATGTGTTTTCAGACTTGTACCTTAGTTGTATTGTATTTTTTTAGACAAAATTGCAAAAATGGTCCTTGTGCTTGGCAAAATTATGCGACTTTGGTCCAAAACGCTACCTTGATGCCCCACTGGTCCAAAAATGGATCTTTCTATTGATTTTGCTCCCTCACACTAACCTCCATCCATTTGTGTCGTTAGCTGCAATAAATACGAGTGTATTTTCGTCTTTCCACCTACAGGGACCTTTTTTGCAACCTTATTCAAAATAAAAGCAGGAGCTACATCACTCTTCCATCTTCAATTTCATTAAAGCTTCATATTCTTCCTACTCTATGTTCGCAACTTCTTAGACATCATAAATTCAAATGGTGATGTGTTTCTGTGGTAGGGACGCGGTGGTTCGCACCTCTTGGACATCAGCAAACCCTGGTCGGAGGTTTCTTTCCTGCCCTCAACAGGTAAGTGTTCCATTTTGCTATTTTACCCTCATTTTGGAAAATTACCCTCATGTTTAAGGTTTTTTTTACGTGAAGGGTTCCAGATGCAGATTCTTAGGATGGATTGATCCTCCAATGTGTGCAAGATCTATGTTGATAATACCCGGATTATTGAGGAATATCAACAATGCAAACTATCAAGTGGCAAGATTGAAAATGTGTTTGTTTGCAAGTTGGTTACTATTTGTGGTGGTTTGGGTGTTTTTCATTTAGGATTAAGGAATTAGGGACCCCTGTAGTTGCATGTAATTTTGGGTGTTTTTGTCTTATGAAATTGTAACGGGGGAATGTGGTAGTTTTTTGCTATTTGATATTGTAATATCAATTTAGGGTTATTTTGGTCCAACTTCAGAAATAGGTACCCTTTTCATGATTGTAATGACAATGTAATGCAGTTATCACCTAATGTTAATGTTTATTTATTGTTTCAGAACAAAGTTGTTATAACCATAAATGTGTTCCATAAACATGAAAACAAAGTTGTTATAAACCATAAGCATCATTCTTTAATAATCACAAAGTTGTTATAAACCACAAACATCATTCTTTAACAATCACAAAAGGTTGACATTAGTTTCTTGACCAAAAGGGCTAAAAGACCAAAATAAAACCATGACAACAAACTACTTCTAAACCCATTACATCCAAATGCACAAAAGTGGTGCTAAACCAAATGATAAGTTTTTAAACAAAACCAAAAAATTCCTGCATTGACTGCCACCTCCATTCCCTCCTTGACTGCTTCATGCATTCCTTCCTTGATTGCTTCATGCATTCCCTCCTTCACCCTTGCAAGTCCTGGAGTTATGACCCCTATTGTTGCATTTCCCACACTTGACACTAACAAACTATCTGGTAAGTTTTTCAGGTTCACTTGCACCATGCTTATGCATCTGACTATCATATTTTTCATATGTACTTCTCTTTCTCTTGGTCTTTGGTCTCCCAGGTTGAATGTGGTGTGGTGGTGGTGTTAATTGAAATGGATAGGTACTTTTTGGCCACATGGCTCTACCCTTTATAGGGTCCACAATGTAAGAGTAAGCCTCATTCCAAGTTTGAAGCTAATACACTTTGTTGACATAAGTGTAAAGCTCCCCAACTTTGTCTCCACTATCAGCCATTTCATGTATTGTAGTTATGGCATGTCTGCATGGAATCCCATTCAACTCCCACCTTCTGCATGTACATGACATATTTGTCATGGCAACTACATGCTGGTCATGCCAAGGACCATAAACTTCATACTTTGCAGTCCCATTCCATCTAGCCCTATATTGGACTGAAGCTTCCCTATTTCTCTCAAGTAACTTTGATGTTGTTGGAGTGAGTGGACCTGGAGCTTTGGACATCACTTTCTTCACATTGCAGATCCTTTTCATAAGGTACTTCTTGATGTACTCAAGACAACTTATGATGGGCTTATTCCTACCATGAATAAGCTTACTGTTGAAAACCTCACACAAATTGTTGAGCAATATATCTGATCCTGCACCTTGATCATGAACTTATGTATCTTGATCACTAACAGGTGCACCTTGATAATGAATTTCTGTACCTTGATCACCAATAGTTACACCTTCATTACCAATTTCAACATGTGCATCTTGATCACCAACAGCTGCAGTGTGTTCCAAGTTGAAACACAATTTCTTACTACATGATTGACTCCCTTCAACTAACCTCAATCTCATATTCTTATTGTATTATGGTGTCTCATACCTTACCAAACACAATTCAAGATTTGGGACATCTTCTTGGTTTTAGTTTACTGGATGCAAATCAACCACTGCTGAATTTGATTTTGGTAAGGGCACATCATCTGCTATCTCCTCAATTATGACCCTAGGTTTAACTCTTGGAGACATAAAGTATGTAAGTAACTTAGATTCATTATGTTCAGTGTATACCTTGATGATCTTATGATGTTCAATGTACTGTGCAAGACTAAGTACATCAACATCATTCCCTAGAGCTCTAAGACCAAAGTCCAAATCTCCATTTAGCAGTTGATAGTGGTAGTAAATGACTGGTGGTACCTCATAACCAAGCTTTAGCATCACCTCGTCCAACTCATGCATAGAGAACTCATCCATGTATACCAGGTTGACGTGGTCTAATTTTCCTTCAATGTAGCTTATCCCCGGAATTTTGTGACACCTCCCTCCATGATGGAGCTCAATAGTGAACATCGTGGGATATCCTTCTGTAAAAATCATGAACCAAACCAAAAAAACATTACTTTATACAGATTGTAAAAGCTTTTTTTTGTTTCAAAGAAATATGTAATAAACAGAGTACGTTACCGTAAATCCGGATTGCATCAAAACACTGATTTCTTGGCCTGATTTCCCACATTTGGAGCATACTCGTGGATTCGAACTTACGATTGAAGTTGATGATCAAATGCAGGATTTCAAGGAACGATTAGTGTTTTTGATCAACAAATTGGGTTTAGTGGGTAGAGAGTGAAGGGTCATTAACTGTGTGTATCCTTCGATATGGCGGTAATTGATGACATAAAGGTGGAAATACGAAAATATCCTCGTTTATATTGTAGGTAACGGAACATATGGACAGAAGTTAGTATGAGGGACCAAAATTAGAAATATCAAATTTTGGACCAGTGGTGCACCAAGGTATCGTTTTGGACCAAAGTCACATAATTTTGCCAAGCACATGGACCATTTTTGCAATTTTGACTTTTTTTTAATTGAGTGAGTTGAGTGGGTTGAGAAAGATAGGATTTCCGTGTGTTGTGGGTTGGGAAAGATGAAGAAGAGAGACAAAAACTGATGTGACTGTGGGTTCAGTGGGTTGGGAGGGAATGACTCCCTCCTCTCTTATAAATATTCAAAATTACAGAAATAATCCATATAGTTTCAAAAAATTCACAACTTTACTTCGCTTTTGTATTTTGTTATATAGGTGATTTGTAACACTCCGGTCTTTTTGTATTTAAATACAAAATACGGTCCGCAAAAACATTTGTTAAATGTATAATCCATAATACATATACAAAAAACTAAGTATATCTATTAGTCTTTCAAAAATGGTCCTCTTCGAAAGGACTATCATATTATATTGACACAGCCTTATATAAATGATCCTTGTGTTTCTCCAAATTTAGGATACAGTTCATAAGTTTAAAAAACTATATAGATGCTCCATATGGTTTTAAAACTTTTAACAAATAGTCCATATGGTTTCAAAACTTTTAACAAATAGTCTCTCACCTACATAAAAAGACTTATTACCCTTTATAATATTTTTTATTTTGTTTATTTAAATCTTTTTTAAAACAAAAAGAAAAAAGAAAATAAATAACTTGGGCCCACATCACTATCTCTAACATTCCAGTAATTAACCGGGAGGAACTGGACGGAATATTGTTACCATCTTCACCTAACTCATTCCAATCTTGATCTTAATACCTTAACTCTCCAGCCTTATTGCTCCATTCAACCATCGTCTTCTCCACTCACAACACCATCAAGCCT